TGTACCTTCTTGTATATATGTCAGGGCAGTCAGTCAAACAGGGCAGTCAGTCAGTCATGGCAGTCAGCCAGTCATGGAGGGCAGTTTGCCTTCAAGGCCAGCCTAGAATCTGAACCATATTAATACTGTGTACTGGCCATCTACACATGCCTGTAGGGGTGGAGGATATTTCTGGGAAGTCTGGAAACCACAGCCAGTCTGTGTTAGTCTGCCTGCTACCTTACTTGCAAACGCAGCTCACTTGCCTGAACCTACCCAAGTCTGCCTAACCACCCGAACCCATCCAAGCCCGCCTACCCACCCGAACCCACCCAAGCCTGCCTACCCACCCGAACCCACCCAAGCCTGCCTACCCACCTGAACCCACCCAAGCCTGCCTACCCACCTGAACCCACCCAAGCCTGCCTACCCACCCGAACCCACCCAAGCCTGCCTACCCACCCGAACCCACCCAAGCCCGCCTACCCACCTGAACCCACCCAAGCCTGCCTACCCACCTGAACCCACCCAAGGCTGCCTACCCACCCGAACCCACCCAAGCCTGCCTACCCACCTGAACCCACCCAAGCCTGCCTACCCACCCGAACCCACCCAAGCCTGCCTACCCACCCGAACCCACCCAAGCCCGCCTACCCATCCGAACCCACCCAAGCCCGCCTACCCATCCGAACCCACCCAAGCCCACCTACCTGCATGAACCCATCCAAGCCCGCCTACCTGCCCAAACCCACCCAAGCCCGCCTACCTGCTCGAACCCACCCAAGCCCGCCTACCTGCTCGAACCCACCCAAGCCCGCCTTCCTACCTGCAAACCCACCCAGGCCCGCCTACCTGCTCAAACCCACCCAGGCCCGCCTACCTGCTCGAACCCACCCAGGCCCGCCTACCTGCTCGAACCCACCCAGGCCCGCCTACCTGCTCGAACCCACCCAGGCCCGCCTACCTGCTCGAACCCACCCAGGCCCGCCTACCTGCTCGAACCCACCCAGGCCCGCCTACCTGCTCGAACCCACCCAGGCCCGCCTACCTGCTCGAACCCACCCAGGCCCGCCTACCTGCTCGAACCCACCCAGGCCCGCCTACCTGCTCGAACCCACCCAGGCCCGCCTACCTGCTCGAACCCACCCAGGCCCGCCTACCTGCTCGAACCCACCCAGGCCCGCCTACCTGCTCGAACCCACCCAGGCCCGCCTACCTGCTCGAACCCACCCAGGCCCGCCTACCTGCTCGAACTCGCCCATGCCCGCCGATCAACCACCAATCCATCCACCACCCTTCCTGCCCACTAGCCAGCTAGTTCACCTGCCCACCCCTATTCCTGCCTGCCTGCCTTTCTACCAGCCAACCAGTTACCCATTCATCCATCCATCCATCCATTCAGCCCAATTGCCTGCCCACTTACCAAATAGTTAACCATCCAGCCAGTCCACTTGCCTGCCCACCTACCAGCCAGTTAACCAGCCTGTCAGCCCACCATCCATCCTGTTGCTCTCCCTAATTTGACTAAACAGTTACCGACATTTTTTAAAACCTCCGGATTTAGTGGAGTCCCTCATTTAATGATATGGTCTGCAAGTACTGTATATGTATAGACAGTATAGTACAGGCAGTTTCTGATTTACGAACATTCATCCATACAAACTCCAAACACTTCAATAGCCATTACAGTTGCATCCACGGCTACTTAAAAACTTATTATTAGCATAACCACAGACTCCACTATGACCATAATTTCATTAACTTAGATCACTACATTCCTGTTCTAGGTACAGTAGTCTGTGCTTTTTACACAACCTAAATTGGTACATTCTCTGTATTTATTTCAGCATCGTGTAATGATTACATCCTTGTACTTATTGCCGTATTTTGCACTTTCTCGCTTTGTACTTGCTACACGATCCTGTACCCGATAAACAACCCTGTACTCATTACATGACCCTGTTAGTTTCGCAAAATATGCCAACCCGGAGATATCTTACTCAATCCTGGAATTTACCATGATTGAGAGAGAAATACACATACCTAGTGTATTTTTCTAATGTAAAAAAGGCTCTAGTTTTCTATAGTGTAAAATGATCTCCTGCATTCTCATTCCCTTAACTCTCCTAGGTTTCCTTTTCCACATTCACCTTCTTTCCATTTCTCCCCATTCTTCCTAGCTTTTTTTTTTAATTTGTGTGTTTTTCACATCACCCTCAAGTTAAACAGTTTAGGTTCTTCTTTTCACACTCAAATTAATTTGGCTTAATGTATTAACTGGGTTTATATACTTAATGTATACATTAATTTTTGTAATATATTGCTTTTAAAACATGTTGCCAAGAAAGACAACAAATAATGTTTACACAGCTCTCCATCACGCGGTAGTATTTCATAAGTGGAAATTTCCTCTTTATGGATGACATAATTCAATCTGTTAAAGTTTGATGGTTTGCAAAAGGTACTAGGTTGAAATTTGGGATAAGTGGGGTCAATCTCTGAAGCCGGTGCTTGTATTGCAGGTAGGTCGGGTGTCCCCAGGCAGGACAAGTGGCCTTACCTGTGAAATCTGTGGTAAGGTATTCAGCGGCAAGAACCAGCGCCAGCTGCTGCGCCGGCACACACTCATCCATACTGGCGAGAAGCCTCATGCGTGCCCTAATTGTCCATATCGTACCAACCAGAAATGCAACCTCAACATGCACATAGCCACTGTGCATCGTGCAGCTCCTTTCCTACACCCATCCCTGACTCCTGCCTTTTCTTTACCACAGCCATCTAGTTCACACAGTACTCGCAATGTTACAACCCAAAATGTGGCTACTTCAGCAGTTACAATTCTAAACTTTCGAAATAAAGGGGGCAAGCTGCAGTAACTTGGAAATGGACATAGATATCTTTTTAGGAAGTAGAATTCTATCTTCAAGAAATTTGTATTAAGTAAAGCTACAAGATTTGTATCCAGTGGGAGGGTAAACTTGTTGAAAACATTTTGCCGATTGGACGATGAGTCACAATATGCCCAAACGATCTGGTGACCAAACCACACATCAGAGAAGATGAAGAAACAACGAAGTTTCGTTCCATCCTGGACCATTATCAAGAGAGACAACTTGATAATATTCCTGGACAGACTGAAACGTCGTTGTTTCTTCATATTCTGATTTGATCATCATTTTGCCGATCCTTTGATGATAACTATTTGTAGTGTTGTTTATTCTACATATTATTAATGAGGGTAGAGTATAATAATTTAGGTGCAAATCAAGGCACTAAGTGGGGCTGTTGTGTGTTGCAGGGTGCGAAGGTAGACGTGGTTGCCCCGGGCGGGTGCGAGGGGCTAGAGGGGCGCGGGCTCGTCTGCCACGTGTGTGGCAAGGCATTCTACAGCCGCAATCGTCGACAAGATCTCCAACGACATTTTCTCTCTCATACTGGGGAAAGGCCTTTTCCATGCCCTTTCTGTCCATACCGAGCCTCTTTGAAGGGAAATCTGAAAAAACATGTACATGGTCTTCATGCCCAGTTTCTAAAAGCATTGGATAAAAATATAATTTTTTCAAATGCCTCTGTTATTTTGTCTCCACCCCCACTGAGTATGGCTCATGACAATACAAGTCAATCCAACTGAAAAAGTCCTGAATGTTCAGGCTTTCTGCCACTTAAATATTTAAAGCTCTTGCTTTGCCTTACTAAACCTGCTAAGATATAAGCAAGACCAAGGGAGAATAGCATTAGCAGAGGAAGATACATTCATCGTTAAGCATACGGAGGCTGACGTGCGGTGTTGTTGTTTCAGGGGCGGGTGGCGGCCTGGCAGTCCGCGTTGGTGGCACACCGCCCCCATCTGCCAACACCCACTTCTCCATCTGTTGCTGTTGAGTGCATAACATGTGGCAAGATCTTCTACGGCTTCAACCGCAAGTTCCTGTTAAAGCGACATATGATTACTCATACTGGTGAAAAACCATTCCAGTGTCCACATTGCCCACACAGAGCAAACTTGAAACAGAATTTGGAAGTGCATATCAAAAGGAAGCACAGATACCAGCTGTCCTCAGGGTTTATGTCTTCTACTCAAGCAGAAACTCTTTAAAGTAGAAACATTATTTTTATATTCTACTCTGAAAATGTGTTACTTTGTGCAGTTAATTTTTAGTGATATTAAGAAGTGGATGTGGGAATGTGCTGATCGTGAAGTGGAAGGTTAAGTGTGCCCTGTATTGCAGGCGGGTGGAGGGACGACGCAGGAACAAGTGGGAGCTGTCCTAGAGCCTGGCACCTGCCATCTGTGTGGCAAGCACTTCCCCCCTACTGCATCCTCTTGGCGGCAGAAATTAGAGCGCCATTTTCTGACACACACAGGAGTTAAGCCTTATCGTTGCCCATATTGCCCACACCACAGTGGCAGGAAGGATTCTATCAGGAGGCATAGTAGGATTATGCATCCTGATAAGCCACCCCTCTCTGCCTCAGATGTAGTCTTGGCATATGATCAGACTGTCACACAAATTTGAAGAATTCATTTACCAAGGTATTGAACATTGGAGAATAGGACAGTTACTTTTTAACCCATTATCAACCAGTGTTTTGAACATTTCCAAAAAATGTATGAAAAGGCAAATGCGTGACAGCAAGGGAGAGGGTGGAACACTGAGTGGTGGTTTGTGTTGCAGGATACTGGGGTCATCTTGGATGTGGGAACGCTGCTTGCCTGTCTGGATTCGGAGCGGAGGTGCCGAGTGTGCGGTAAACAGTTCCAGCCAAGTCCCTCGTGGAAGCAAAAATTGACGCGCCACCTCATGACTCATTCAGGAGCGAAGCCTTTCTACTGTCCCCACTGCCCACACCGCTGTGCTAGAAAGGACTCTTTGAAACTGCACATTGCACGCATGCATGGCCCACTCCCACCAATCTAGGCTCAGCATTATCTCTTATACAAATGATAAGTAATTAAAGAAGACACTTTTATGCAAGCTTTGAGCTAGAGGGAGACTTAGTGGTATGCGTTTATATTGCAGGTTGACATAGCCAGACAAGACTCTGCGTACACAACCCTTCCGGCAGTGGATAGACGACATCACGAACCAGGAGGACATGCTCCAGGTGGAAGCAGTGCAGGAATAGGTGTAGCAGAAGAAAAAAATATTGTTGCCTTGCCAAGGTTCTGTAGTATATGTGGACATTCATTCAGTGGCATAACATGGAAACAGAAGCTTGAGAGGCACTTGCTGGTTCATACAGGGCAGAAACCCTTTCATTGCCCCTACTGCCCACATCGCACCAATCGCAAGGATGCTCTCAAGGCTCATGTTGCAGCCCTACACAAGGTTCATCTGCTTGCATAATTGTTATACTGTACTTGTATGAAAATGTCCGTGAGCATTAGTGAATGGTGTGTTGATATTAACAGAGTAAACCATTGCCAATAGTGTGTCTTTTGCGAAGGAAAAGAGGAGGATAGGTTCTATGGTGATGATTTAATTCAAGGATAAGCAAAAGGAAGAATTTTTTTATTAGTACATTAATTCAAAATGCAGCTAATGTATGCCATAATGCTGGTCTACGAGCTGGTGTGAGTAACTGCCTTTAAATTTGGATGTCAGACTGAATGGGCCTTGACTATTAAATAATTACTGTATCACGATGCCTGCTCTTATTTTTATTAAGATTTTTATTAATTAATTATTTATTTCAAAATTCTCTAGAGCTAAATTTACAGGAATTATTTTAGGTCTTGAGTTTTTTAATTTGTAATGTTTATCAACTTGCTTGAGTAAATATTTATTGAATTATATTTTCAGTTATTTGGCTAGTATGTGTTTTTTATTATTTTGTTATTGTATATAGCATTTAAAAATGTATTGGCAGTGATTCTAATAACAAACTTTACATCATTTTGGCTTATTAAATTTGCTCATTTTTAAATGCTAAAATTTTGTTAAGGTTTTTACTATTTTTTTTTTTTGTGAACACACTGGCAAACATAATGTACATGATATTCAGATTCAGAAATCGGTGTGGGTGATTACAACAGTTTGAGTTTAGGCATGCTAGAGGATGATAACAGGCAATGATGGAGTTTAAATACACAAACTATAAATTAAAATCCAATCTGCTAAGAGAGGGACCTGGGAGATAAAGATTACTGAGTATTTAAGCCATCTTGGTGCAACATATAGTGACTAAGTAACTATAGTGACTAAAGATTTATAATTATTAGTTTGCTGGGTATGAACAGTAATTGACTGTCAGTAGTCTTCAACCTTCCATCCAGATGTTTCCATGGTTTATAAATGAAATTCAGTTACTCAACTAAAGAGATAAGACTATGGGAATCAAAGAAGTGATGCATACATATTAAGTAGACAGTACTTCCCATTGGCTAGTGCAGTGATCTAATCAAGTTGACTCTTGAGGTGAATTATTTCTCAAGAAATATAATTCTATAGCAAGATGGGAATAGTATTTAATGCAGTCAGGTTATCTGCAAGAAGTCTGTGTAGTGTGCACTTAAAATCAGTTTAATTTCTCCCACTGTGAAATGTGGTTTTCCTTTACTTGAGAAATAACCTCCTGATGTTATGTTATATTAACAAGGCCTAGCAACATTTTACATCCAAAGCTTTTATGCAAAACGTTTACCAGAAGAATAAGGAAAATATCAGTTAACTCTTGGCCTGGATGACATCCCATTTCACACAAAAGGATGCTCATTTCCTTTGAATGATTTTTGGGCATAATGTCACATGTCCACATAAAAGACCTTAAGGCTATAAATAATAGAGATGATCTTGCATAAAGGTGGGATGCGTATCTTAACTCTTCAGTTGTACAAAAATAGATTTTTGGTTATGAAATCCTGTTTTTCCTGGTATAACTACTGTTTAACAATATTGGATAATTTGTAAAATATATTATTTATTTGTACTCAATTATTATAGTACTCAATAATTTGTTTGTAATTAGTGTAAATAGTATGGCAGCATATTGTACTTAGCGTGTGAGCACAGGAACAAAGGTGACGAAAAAATATTACAAAGTTTGTTTTTTGCAAACGGTGGTACACGTTTGGAACAGGTTACACGAGAAGGCGGTAGAGACCAAAACCGTCTATACAGTAGTTTCAAAGCGTCATAAGACAAAGCATACTGGGAAGACGGGACACCATGACCATAGCTCTTGTCCACTTCAGGTATTTACACTTAGGTGACTACACACACTTTGCTGGGACAATTTATGTGAGCTGGTGGTAGATACTACAAGCTTAGCTCTCATCCTATATACTGTACTGTATACACTTACATAATTACTCTGCAGCATGCAGGTGGCTGCATAATATGCTTCCAAGAACACTTTGCATTGGACAAGGAGAATATAATTTACTTTTTTTCCCTCTGTTCATGTGTTGTTTAGAGGTTACCTTACCTTGTCACTTCGAATGAAAAAAAATATTTCAAGTAATTCTTGTTATTGCGCATTTTTTGGTGAAGACTAGTACGAAAAAGCCTCAGCTGAAGGGTTAAGTCATCCTCACATTTGTACAAGTCGCTAATCCAGTGTTAATAAGATAGTGGCCGAGAGATATACTACTTGTCCCATGTTAGATTCCATTTTACAGTCAAGGACTAAAACATTTAGGCCAGATCTTCTACAGAGTTGACCCACACTAGAATGGAGAATGCTCCTTGTCACAAAAGTTTTTGTATTTAGTTTGGAATCAAAAGTAACTAGAATCAGTGACGGTCATGCCATATAGTGTTAGTCCTTCCTCACCATGGATCATGCCACAAATTAGGCATTGTTATTGTACATGGAAAAGGTGGCTTAAATTGTGCATACCAGATACCATCTTTATGCAATTATTGTGAGTATATTTGTACTTGTAAAAAACAGATATTACCATGGCAGTTAGCCTTGGGTGAATTGCGAGTGCAGTAGAACTAGAAACAGTGCCACATTTAAACAAGCATTATAGTGGTACCTACAGAATCCAGATCATACCATTCTGGCTCGATCCTAATATTGTACTGTATGTGTGAAATTTCTGAAAAAGTGCATCATATTAAATTAAAAAATGAACCATTAAATTTTGTTTTAATTATGCTTAAGGGCTTTCCCGTGGCAAACCATTTCTTATGGTGTAATCATCTACACAATTTTTTAATTTACACAATGTTAAAGGAGGTACCATTAAATTAATATATTTTACCCATTTATTAACCCTTAGGCAGCAGACATCATTTATTGATTCACAGGGTAATGCTGTTTTCATCATATGAAGAGTTAAACACTTATTGTCTAGGTTTTATATGTATGATGCAAATATCAAATATGGACATAATAGGTGTATGTGGATGTAATCGATTTACCTTGACTCGCGAAAAAAATCCTGCTACCATTTCATGGTAGGAATGTGGTTATAGTGGTGAAATTTATTACGGGAACTCATCGATCGTCATGTGACAACTTAACCCTGGCACTGCTCGCCATTTAAATATGACGCTGAGAGCGCGAAAGTGTTAAATATGAAGCCAACACACACACACAAAAATTATCTGGTGGTTATTTTTCATTTGATATTGTTTATTAGCATCCAGGAAGTATGAACATTCAAGTAAAAAGTGTATCTTGTAATTTAGTTGTAATGGCCTGGTTAAATTGTGATATTTTGGCAAAACTAGAAACCCATATAAAATGCAGTCAAACCACAGTTGAAAGGAAACGGATGTAAAAGATTTAGAGTACAGTACAGTAATCATGACAGAAGACCTTTTAAATAGCACAACAAAATAGTTGTCACATCTGCAGGAAAAATGACAGGTTTGATACAAGAACCCTTCAAAGAAAAAATGCAACACCAATGATGATACTTTATAAGACACTAGTGCTATCTAGAGTTGAATATTGTTGCACGCTAACAGCATACCTGGAGAGGATCTTGGGGGCTCTACTCCCTAAGCCTGGCCTGAGGCCAGGCTCGAGTTATGATAACCTGGTCCAACAGACTGTTGCGTGGAGCAGCATGCAGGCCCACATATAGGAAGATACTTAATAAATTGCTCTTGGTAAATACTTGAAGGACTGGTTCCAAATCAGCACACAGAAATAACATTACATGAAATTAGAAGGCATGGTAGGATGTGTAAAATTGCTCCATTCAAAACCAGAGGTGCAATAGGCACACAGAGAGAACTTGATCAACATTTCAAGACATTCCAACACTTCCCCTACACATACAGGGCATAACTGGCTGACCTCTTGTAACATTCTAAAGAGAACTTTACAAACTCCTTCAAAGGTTGCCTAATCAACCAGGCTGTGACCAAGATGCGTAGTCAGAGACCGGGGCTGGGGAGGATGTTAGTCCTAGAATCAACAACAGGTAATATGGCTATGACCCCCCTAATTGTACAGTAGTAAGGGAACCAGCCCTGTCGTTGATCCCCACACGCAAAATTCTATATTTATCTCAAGATTTGTAATGTAATATTATGGATGCTTTTACAATTAATAATTAAGGAGGTATAATTTCATAACCATTTTCAGAAGAAATGTTCTGATACCTCCACTGAATCCAAATTCAAACACCAAAGAACAAAATTTTCCCAAACTTGTCTTCTCCAAAAATGAAAACAGCCATTGAAAAACAATGATTTTTCCAAAATAGGCCCATTGATTTTCCCACACTCTAGATTGCATGTCAAATTTTGTGAGTTTTCTTTACTAACCCTGTAAAACATTATTTAAAATGAAATACGAGTCAATATTGAGAACTCTTTATTAACAATATCTGAAAGATATTTTTTTGTTTTAACATTAAAATTAATAGTTTTTCAAGCTAGACCCCATCAAATTTTTATCCCCAACCCCCCATCCCCGCAGCTTAAATGGTCATAACCACACGCATGAAATATCTTGAGAAGCTGTCTTAATGACTGTAATAATTTAGGAGATATAATCACATAACTGTCACCATATATAATATGGTGACACATAAGTGATATAATAACATAACATCACTGGCACTTCCATTGACTTTTACCAAATGATAAAAGCAGCATAAGAATAACACAAATTTAGACAAAATATGATGTGTAGGATATTTCTTTAGTGAGTGATCTGGATTTCACCATGCTCATCCTCTGCAATCCATAATTGCAGTATGAGACAAATCCTGATATTTGGAGAAATTCTGGTGAGCAGATTTGGTGTGACAGAACACTGGATACATTTCTTTTCTTTGAATGGCTCTGTCGTATATTATGTAGGTGAGATATTCCAACTGCTCAAAGTCTTTCTCGTATCACATTTTATCATGCTCTCAATTTTATGATAAACATACTTTCAGTAGAATGTTTCTCATTACTTGTTGGATGATTGTTCTCATCCTCTCACACAGCAGAAAGGGGAGGGGGTTATGCACTTATTGTTATACCCCCTTCATGGCATAAATGCCAGTAAAAAGAACTCGAATAACTGGTGTTATGTTCAAGATGATCAAGTATTGTACACCAATTTAAGATTTGCCTAGTAAAATGTGTTGTTTTAGCATTTATTATGGAAGACCAATTTTGTAAACTTGTTTGAAAACACTTGCATCAAAACCTCATTTAAATAATCTTATAAAATCAAAACCTGACTTGCCTCCATAACTAAAATAAGTGGTAGCCTTAAAAGATCATGCATAAAGAAAATGAAGTGCATACTTGAAATGTCTGCCAAGATCTACTGTTGCGTGGCACTACCTGGCCCTCTTTGCGGGAGGTAGTTTTGGGGTGCAAATGTTCGGTTGTATCCAATGAATTTCCTTAGCTTTGTTATACATTTCCTTCATTACTTGACCATTTTTCTAATACAGGAAATGTATTTTGCTGCCTTTTTATTTTAAAAAGACCTTTCAATTAAATTAAGCAGTACTTCATTATGTTGTATTTTAGTGATAGTTTCAACAACATAGAAAATGTCAATAGCTGGCACTTGAAGTATTTTATATTTTGTCCTGATACAAGTGCATCTAGGTTCTCACCTCGTGGGATTGCAGAGTTGCCTCTAATTTATAGAGGCACAAAATGCATGCAAAGTGCAGTATAAAACAAACAAGCCTAGCATCTGCAAGCATTGGGTGGCTGTGTATGCAATGATGATGTTATTTGTACTGTATATTCCAAAAGCAGTCATAACTGGAAGGTTTTTTGTGAGCTAACAATTGGGAATCGGCAATTTCTAAATTTGTTTTATTGAATTAACTGATGTCTTCTGCAGTTGTCTTTTTAAATTATGGTACAATACAGTACTTGGAAAACAAACACATTCAGAATGTGTTTGATTAGCATAGTATGTTTTGGATATAACATGCTCATTTTGGCAATTGCTAACAATTTCATTGAGTAACGATAACAACGATATATCATTGTTTGAATGGCTAGTAAGGTAATGCTTGAAGTCAGAAATGTTAGATTTAAAAGGATTATTGATTTGTGTGTAGTACTGTACTGAAAAGTAAACTGCACATTGGAATTGTAATGGCCTAGACATTTCAAAGATATTCATTAATGATTGATTTATATGTTGGGAATAGATGTTAAAATATAGAGCCAATGACAAGGGATCAATTTTTGACACTTGGTGTGTAATTTAGGAAAAGAAAACATTTAATGGGCACAGTGAACATGATGCTTAGAGGTCAGTGCAGTAGATGACCACTTGCTTTGGCAAAGATGGAAATTATTGATAATCTATACCCTGTATTTAAATTCCAATCCAGGGTTAGAAAAAATAAATCTGAGTTTCTCAGTCCTTTTGCTAATGATTTTTGTACCCATAGCAAATAAACTTTATTTACTAATACTCATTTACTAGAAATATGATAATTCAGAGAATACGAGAATCTTAAACTCCCATGAAAGCTTTACAGTTTATAATTAAGTAAATAACAATTATATTTTCAGTAACATTTTTTGTTTGCAAATTTTTTTTGTTTATTTTATGCAAGAAGTATTATTTGAATTTCTGTACAGTTTTACTTTGACAATGAAGCATTTCTAATGTCTTAAATGAAAGGAAGAATATACTAGTAGTATATGAGGTATGCAATCTGCATCACGTGGCCAGTATTGTACACCATGTGTAAAGTTGATTAAATGTAAAGATTTTACTGAGCTTTTATATTCCTTTATCCTGCCTTCACATGATTATTAGTGTCCAGTTGATCCTGGTAACCCATCACGTGATTATTAGTGTCCAGTTGATCCTGGTAACCCATCACGTGATTATTGTCCAGTTGATCCTGGTAACCCATCACATGATTATTGTCCAGTTAAAGCACTCGTCCTGATTGGCTTGTTCTGTTGTTGCATACTGCTTATGCATTGCACTTTTCTTTGATAACTTAATTTCCAATGTATTTTGTTTGCTTCATGGTGAGCAGTCTTGGTTCTGTGTTCTGTGTAATCATATTAATAACGTGCTTAACCCTTACACTGCGCAAAACGTCATATGATGTGTGACATTAAGCTCAGTTTTTTAACATTTCTGAAACTCCTTCAAATGTTTTGTGCCTAATCTACGAGGCAAATGCTCCAACTTTGTCTATATGATACCAGTGTAATTTGAAAAACAAGAAAATAAAAAATAATTATAAAATTGAATATTGAAAACTTTAGATTTTGAAATCAGCTGCAAAAATATAAAATATCACCAACTGTTCATTTGGTGTTATTTTGCTCACAAAATAGCATATGATATTCATTTTCATCTATTTAGAATATAGATTTTCAGTATAGTTTACTGTAAAAAATAATTGCCGATATGGCATTTGAAATATGCGCAAATTTAGACAAAAATTTACAGCTCCAAACATTTAGAGTTTATGAAAAATCAATTCTATAGGGATTGTAGAACAGACAGCAGTGCACACTATATGTAAAAATGATGAGAATCGGTCAGAAACTAGATTTTTGGATACTGAAGTAAGTTGAAATTCTAGTTATACTGTACAGTAATTGAAGTTGAAGTTATTGACAATGAATAAGGCAGTTCTAATTCATGGATTTACTTTTATGTTGTAATAAACATTGTGTGGCATTTA